TTCTAATTTTGCTTCATCTCAGAAGACCTGATAATTGTTGTATCTTATTGGTTTTGATTTTGTAGCATTCATTTCTTTTTCTGATATGAAGGTGATTGTTGCTGACCTTCTCTGATTACCATTTCTGTTAGATGATATATATATTGATTTTACTCCTTTGCTTCTTAAACAGCATAAGAGTAATATCTCCGATGCATTTGCTGGAATATCTCTTAATTTTGTTGTAAATAGGCTTTGGCAATCACGTTAATTGTAATCCTCATTACCTTTGGTCACTCTTGCGAGTTTGTGAGTTCTGATTGGTAATGACCATGGAATATCCTAGTATATGAAGATACCAAATATTACATTTAGTTTATTAATTATGAAATGTATAAAGATACTTAATTTTTTTAAAAAGTTAAAAAGTAATGCTTTTATAGATATTTTATATGTATAAATAATTATAATAAAGACTACTCTATTACTAATAAATGCTATTTATAATAATAAGAACTAATAGATATAATATAAATAATATATATAATTGATATAGTAGATATAATAGAAATGATAGAAATGATAAATCTAATAGAAATATAATATCTGTAATATCTGTAATATCTATAAGATCTGTAAGATTTATAAGATCTGTAAGATCTGTAAGAAATATAAGATTTTCAACACAGTAATTTGAGCCAATCAGAATCAAGTACATGTATTATAATTAGTGTTTTTCATCAAAATCGTCCTGATCTCATGATTTCATGATCATAATCACATGATGTTGTACTTGTTAGGATCATCTCGGTGAGCTGAATCCAATGGTGGTTATTTCATCCAAATTAGTTTCGTACATCAAAAATTATAATCAAATATGTGTAAAACTCTTAATGTTAATAATAGTATTATAGAAATTTTAAAAACTATATTGGTATTTCTAAAATTATACCTATAGTTTTCTAAATATCTGTAGTTTTAAGTTCAATTTCATATTAATATTAGCAATTCAATATTCCCATAATTAAACTTATAATTTATATTTTCTATCAGTTTTCTGATATTTATCCAATATTATTCTGATTATGCAACTGCTGATATGTCTTCATGCAATCTGTGAAAACATAAAGAAACAGTTAGAAAAAAAATAATCAAAAATATTAAAAAGAAATCTTAAGATCAAAAATTACTTTTAACTCCTGAGAATACTATTCTTAAGATTTCTATATTACTAAATAAGAATGTTCCTACATCTGAAACAAAGAAGTCATTACTTAATAAAGATCTAAATATTCAGGATACAAAACTTTCTTCTTCTGAATTTAATTCATCTATTATCTTTTTATCCAATTAGAAACAAAGTACTATTTCTTCTGAAATAAAAATTCCCTATAATCAAAAGGTTGAACAAGGTTTAATATATAAGTTATTTATATTTATTAACAAGAAACATCTTTCAAATTCCATATCTGATAGACAAATTCTTGAAAACATATTAGATGAAAATGATTCAACTTCAGGTTCTGCATCCCATTTGGTCATTTATTTGACAAGGCTAAAAAAACTGACCAGAAAAAAATTTTACATTGGTATTGTTATAGTGAAAAATTTGAAAAAAAGGTAAAAAACATTGGCTTTAAAAATAAACTTAACAATTAAATGGCGAGAACACAGATCTATAATGAAATGAAACCATTTCTTCTAGGCATTAGAGAGAATATTTGCATAAGAAAAAAGATTAGAAATATTTATACATTATTCAATGAAATAAGAATAGATAAAATCAAGCAAGTTACATATAGTGCCAATGCTATTTCCAGTTTAACAGATGTTTAAATCCAAAACATAATAAAGCTTTGCTCTGAAAAACCTAATGTAGGATTGGTCAACGAGCAAACTGGATGTCAAAAAGTAATCAGCGTGAAGAATCTCACGTGCACGTGACCGAACTATCTAAATCAACTACTAAATTGTCTCATACGTCTAATTCGAAAGATATAATAAGTGAGAATGACAAATCTTTATCTAATACCTCGGTAAGCGTCTCAATACTGAAGTCTCACCTAATAATATGACTCATATCTTTAATTCTTCTGATGTTGATGAGATAGGTGAGGTAAGCGCACCCGATAGTTCTTTATATTTTAATTCGGATCCTTTTGATGACGAAATTTTTGTGATAGGGACACTGACCCATAGAGTGAGGATGGAGATTTCTCTGATGACAACAACGAAGATGATGATAAGAATTATGACAGTTTCTGTGGATTTTCTGACGATGATGATGAAGGATATTATTATGATTTAAATACTGATGAAACTTATACAAAATCAGACCGTTCAATCTACGCATATTAAGACACTAGCGACGTTATACTAAATAATTAACCTCCACATATTTTTCGTGCAACCCAATTTCTCTGATTCGGTATTTTCCACTGATCATGGATTTCATTTCCCATTCTAGTTTCGTTATAATGAATAAACTCCCTTTCAAAAGTTTCAGACGTAATGCCAATTCTGGTCATTTTTAGATAAGCAAATCCGAGATATGCAATTTTTCCTCTTATATCTCTATAATTAAGATGTAATATAGATGCAATATAGGTGCAGTATAGGTGTGATGAAGGTGCGATGTAGTCACGATGAGCTTTTTTTATATATAATTGTATGAGAAATAACCACGATGCGACTACCTCTGGCAAGTTGAGTAGCATTACTAGTGATGTGCAAATTTCAATTTTTTCTCATTTCATGCGCATGGGAATTATTCGGAATCTTTATGAGGTTTCGGAATATTCCGGAACATATTGAAAATTTCCGACTCATATTATCGGCCAGCATTATAAAAATCATGCGCATGATTCTATAATTTCATGCGCATTGCCCATCACTAAGCATTACCACACTGAATAAATTTTTTGTGATGTGGACTGACGATCAAATTGCGCTTATTAATAGACCAAAAAATAGCAAATAATAGATTTAAAAATATTGTAAGAGATCATACCGTAAGTGTTTATTTCATGCCTATATACCAAGGAATTACATTTTCTGATAGCATATACAGTATAATAAAATTTTACTAGTTGATGTGCCAATATGTAGCTGGAAGCAGAACAGGCAAGAGAAGCAGAGCTTGTGAGCAAGTTCACCAGATATGTTATAATCTATGTGTCTTGACACTAGCTCCGCTATTAATAGCAAATATACTAACCTTGTAGAATTACATTATACATGAAATAGAGAAACACCATTTGACTTAGCGCATAGTGCAAACATATCTACCAGAAGACGACACCGTAACCCTACTTTACCACCAACTTATGATGGAGTGTCATCAATTCCAAGCATGAATCGCCGTGAATTTACTGCCGGTCAAAGAGATCGATCCGCATCACCTACCAGAAGAGTTCCTAGCAGAAGGGATGAGAATACTAATCGAGATAATGTAAATAATTTAGGTGGAGATTTAGGCAATAATGTGGGTGGAAACTCCAGCCATAACGCAAATGATGTGGGTAGAGATTCAGGCCATAACGCAAATGATGTAGGTGAAAATTCAGGTCATAGCGTAGATGATACAGGTGGAGATTTGGGTGAAAATTTATATGATACAACATACAAATTTTCATCTGATTTGACAAGTATTACCTCAGCCCTTAATATATCTGCATCACAAAATGACAGTGATTTTAGTATGGCCGATGCAGGAGGAGATAGTCAATTGTTGGAATCTATAAATGAGGAGGGAAGTTAGATGTCGTTTAGTTACTGTATAATTGCAAAGCAAAAAATAAAGCTCTACTACTTCGTGGTTAAAATTGCTTTTATTAAATGTTTGCCTACCGAAATGTATTTCTTTAATCCCGTGTCAATTTACCTTTCAAATATCTCGTGACTTGTGATACAGGAGGAACCGTCGATGTTACACTAATGATTTTTCACCCGGTGTGCAACATATAAAAAAAATCATTTTACAATACCAGATCATTCCACTAGTACATTTTTTTATATGTTGCACACCGGGTGAAAAATCATTAGTGTAACATCGACGGTGACTTGTGATCGATAACCCGAATACGTATCTACAAAACCATTTCGCATTTTTTCTCAAACTTTTTTCAAAATGTTTCGTGATTTAACTAAGAAGCTTCAAGAACGATTCCGACTTCCAAAATTTCCAAAGGAACCTATAGAGGAGAATAGGTAACATATGATTTTATCATAGAACTGTGATCCTTTAGTTTAAGTTCCACTTAATGTTAGCTCATATGAATTGCAGTTTACCTTTTAAGATTGGTTCTAATATATCGATAAAAAACTACAACAAATTTCTTGAAAGCCATGAATTATCTGGGTACAAGTTTGAGTATAATGACGGCAACATTTTTATTATTGATATGTGCACACAAGTACATGAAGTTGTTGTTGCACTATTGCAAAGGTATTTTAATGTTCCCAATGGCAATGAAATTGCTGATCCATCAATACTCGTTTTAGGTCAACCACGTAAGAAAATTCAAGCTTGCCTAATCTTTGACTTTTTATGAATTTTTTAATATCTTACATCCTTTTTATAGTTCATCCTTCACCAAATGCAGATGGACTTAAGATTGCACCGGATATTGCAGTATATTCGGATGAGGCATACGTTCCAAGACCTCCCAATACTGGACTTGGTCCTCCCCCAAGCGACACAATAGTACATTAAATTTGGTGTATATTATCATTATCTGTTTTGTATACAATTTTCTAATACTTATACTTTTGTAGGGGAATTCTCATGCTAGAATAATATGTGAGGTTGCAGTTAGTCAAAATTATCGTGGATTGAAAAATAAGTGTGCACTTTGGATGAGTCAGCAGTACGTGAGATATGTATTAGGAATAAAGCTTTATGATTTGAGAACTACACGAAATACACATGGACAATTTAATCGATCGATGAAAGTATGTATCTATTGACTATTTTATTATAGTTTCGTAGTTGATATTCTAAAAAACTTTTTAAATATTAGGCTAAATTATGGAGACAAGGAATGCCAACACGAAAAGTAATGTTAAACTGTTTAGAGATTCTGTTTATTTTATTTTTTCGATATTTACATGTATATATCTAAAAAATAGTGGCATTTTGGGACTATGCAAAAAGGTAGTAGTCAACCTACTGGGTGTAATGCTCGGGGTAATCCAGAATATCAGATCAGCATTCCGATAAATGATGTATTTTATGATCCACCTATTCCAGCTATTGGATATGTTCCACTGGTTTCTTATCCTCGTCCTGCAATTCTTGATGGTAATTTCATAATTGATCTTTACGAAATTCAGCAGATAGTTTTGAAAAGTCAGCCAAGATAATGAATATGTAGTGTGTTAAAGTTTTTATAATAATCCTATTTGTTGACACTGCATTGCAATCTATAATACTTTAAACTTGGTTCATGTTCTTATTTTTTTGTATTTACCAATGCCCGCATCGGTCTTATCTTTAACTGTGCATATGTGTGTGTGGGTGTCAGAAAAATAAAATAGAGAATATGTGTGCACATGAGATTTTATTGCTTAATCATTATGAATATTTAAAGTTTTATATTTATTCTATAAGACCCAGTTCTCGAAGATGCTCTGGAATAACTATATATGGGTCTTCGTAATGCCAAACTTCTCGTAGAACTATCCAATTTTCTTCGCATAATTCTTTCTTGAGTTGATCTCGTTCTTGCTGTCTAACAAAATTATTGGGATCTCCTTTATGAAAGAATTCGATATATTTTTCATGTTGCTCTCCTTGTACTTTGATTGCAAGACCATATTCCAGATAATAAATATCAAGTTCTAAACCTATAGGAGATTCTAATGTTTTGAGAGAATCAGGTCGACATATCTTAGATGGGGGTCCAAGATATTTTGACACAATTTTTCGACACAAATTTTCACATTTATACTTAGAGCAACTATTTTGATACCATTTATGCTTTTTTTCACATCTCCAAAGTAAATGTGTTCTATTATCAATATATATATCACTTAAACATTCTCCATTTTTATTATATGATAAAGTATTAGCATATTTAATGCCAAGTTTTGTAAAATTATATCTACAATACGGACACCAATTATGATGATTTTTTGTATTATAAAAAGTGGCATACCATATATGAGCTTCAGAACATTTCTATTGTAATTGCTTAGTAACTTTATTGAATTTTTCAGAAAGACATTCTTCTTTTTTAGTCTGAACAAATTATATTACATCTTTAAGAGTATATCGACCTACCTTTGAACACCATGGACACCATCTTCGATTATTTTTTATATTGTTAAGATTTGCAAACCATTCATGTTGTTTATCACAACGCCAATACAATAGCTCTTTATAATTAATATAGAACTCAGAAAGACATTGCCCTCCACGAGATTCAGCTATTTGTATTGCATTATTTAAAGAGAATTTTTGAACCATTGATAATTTGTAAAACTGTTATTTTCAATCTTTAAAATACATGTGATCAAACACATAAGTGTCCTTCCTTGCTTCGCATGTGAGGATGAGATCAATCGCCGGGTTAAGAAAGAGGTCAATGTTTTATACCAGGAACGGAGTTTGTACAACGTACAATGTAGAGTAAGGCTTATAGGCATCTGAAATGGTGTGTCTCTTTTTTATCCGATTGGTTATTATAATCTTGTGACTTCATCTTGTGATTTCTAGATTTTTACCTATAAGCTTTTGTCTATTGACACATG